TTTGCTGGCACTTCCGCGGTTTTCAGCTGTTTCACCCGGGCTCCCTGCGACGCCTGCTGTCGCTACCTGGTCGGGGCCGTTGTCCCTGTCGGTGTTTGGGTCGGAAGGGTGGCGTGGCTTCGCCTCGCGGCGGGCAGCGCCGCCTTGGCGGCGCAGCGCTGCGTGGCACTCTGTTGTTCCTCGCGAGAGGTTTCGCGATTGGGGCTGGGTAGCCTGCGTTCTGACCCAGCTGGGCAGGGTGGGTGGGTGGCCGCCGCTGCAGCAGGTTGCGGCGGGGGGGTGCGTCCCCGCGTGGGTTGCCAGGGCTGGCCCCTTTGTTGGTTGGGGCGCAGCTGGGGTGCGCTGCCGATCGGTGCGTGGCCCGCAGCATTGCGGATGGGCTGTTGTAGGGTCAAGCCAGCCACGGTCGCGTCTGCGCTGCCAAACTGCCCAGGCGTTGGAATCCTCAGCATTTTGCGATCCTGCGCTGCGACCAGGGTCGGCGAAGCCTGGGCTGACATACCTCGGCGCGGCTGGTGCAGGGATCCCCGCTGGTATTCTCTGCCTCGGAGTAGGAGCCCGCGCGGCGGCGGTCTGGCGCGTTGCGCCGCTCCGATCGGCGTGGAATTGGTTGGGGGGCTCCCGTTGCCCTGGGACTGTGGGCGCCAGGGGCCGTTCCCAAATGGGCGGCGTTGGTCGGCGCCCTGGTTGCGGCGGGGAAGGTGCCTGGCACCGAAGGCTGCCTGCTCTGGGCCGCGGCGGTCGCGGTGCCATGTCTGTTCAAGTGGCAAGGGGTGCTGGGGGTAAGGTCCCGCCACTTGCATCGTGGTGCGGGTGGTGTGCTCGTAGTATTACATATCCATGTCGCCGTCGGTGAAATCATGGTTTCAGGCGGTCGTGTGGGCGTGTCCGAACAGGCAGAAAGTCCCTCTTACTAATTCTGGCATCTGTGGTGCTTGTGCCCGTAAGTGCGTCGCCCGCCAGAGCGTTGGGGCGCCGCGGTTCACCGCCCCAGAAGAACACAACGTCGAACCAGAAGTCTGGGGTGGTGCGGGCGCGCCCTGCAAGCATACGGCAGAGTTCACGGATCGCGGTAGATCTCGGCTGCTCCGCCACCTGGTGCGCCCATCGTTGGCGCGCGCAACTGCTGAGTGGTGCGCGCTCGGCAAGGCGTGAGTGCGGCTTGAACGTCATGGCCCCTGGCCTCCACAGCGGAGCGTTGGGATCGTAGGGTCGGGCATCGCAGGCAAGGGGCCTGCGACTGGGCGTAGGTTTCCCGCGGTCCAGGTTGCCCCTCTTGTGCTGGTTCGGAGAATTATGCGCAACCTCCCGCTCCAACTTTGGTTAGGCTGGGTGGCGGGTGGGTAGTGCCTCGCTCTCGGATCTGCGCGCATATGGTGGGCCACGTGCCAGCGCCCCTCTTGCCTTGTTCGAAGATTGGCGAGCGGGGGAAGCGGCTATTCAGGACGCAGTATTCTTGGTCCCGTGCAAGGGCGGCGTAGGAGCAGGCCCAGAGGGCCCTTCCTATGAGGTGACATACGGGCACATGTGGTGCAAATTGCTGGGCGATCCATCTCCCCGGTGTCCAGGCGGCGTTGCATGCGACAACCGCAAAACTGATGATCGCAGCCCTGGGCGTCGCAAGTGCAGCGCCCAGGTAGGTGTGGGCCTTGGGGGGAGTCGGCGCGTCCACGGAGGGAACATCACGTCCCGACTTTCGCCCGCTGATAAGATGACCTCAGCTGCTGGGCGAGCGTCGCCAGCTGGGCGGGGAATCCAAGTGCAAGGTGATGCGCTGACGGGGTGGAGCACCATCCGCCGTGACTGATCTTCATCCCGGGATTGGCAGTTGGTGGTGACCTATAGGGTGCGATGTCCCCCGTTCCCGTCAGGGGCGGTGATAGGGACCCAGCCATCGTGGTTTGCGTAGGCAGCGCTGGTGCAGCGCTGCACGAAGAAAACGGCACCACCAAGGACGTGAGCGCAATCGTGCTCCCCCTTGCTATCGGTCCCCGTCGGCTGGGGCCATGCGGGCCACCCTGAAGCACGTGCCGTTCGCTTAGCCGGCTTGCGCTGGACCGTTTGGAGCGTTCCCGGGGGCGCAGGGACGCAGGGGTAGTGGACATGGCCGTCGCCCTGACTTCCGCGGGCGTCGTGCCCCCCGCGTTGGCGGGGCGGTGGTGGGGGGGGGGGCGCTGGGGCGGCGGGGGCGCGAGCGTTGGGCAGTTCTCTTTCCTCTGCCGCTCTGCGCGGGGCCGCGCCCCTAGGGGTCGCAGCAGGGCTGGCGTCGTAAGATACGTCAGGGCAATGTTCGGCTGCGTGCGCTGTTCTTCTGATCCACTCTGGCTGCGCGCGTCTCTCCGTAGGCGTTTTGGTCAAGAGCGGTGCTTGGGCGGCAGGGTCGTGGCCAGCGCGCCTGTGTCGATCGCGGCTGGGCCAAAGGCAAGCAGGTGCAGAGGCGCGCGTAGCTGGGGCCTCAAGGGCCCATCCTGCGAGCTTGCCGCCTCGCATTGGTATGCCCCCAGCGCAGGAGCTGTGGCAGATGAAGCAGCAGGTAGCTAGTGTAGCTGGCAGTGTAAGAGTAGTGTAAATGTACCGCATTGTGGACGTTGCGTCGTTCCAGAGACTGCTGATGTTGTTTAGGGCCCAGCGCGTTGAGGTGGTTGCGGGCCCGATGATGTGGCTCATGTTGCGCTGCACTGGGTCAGGGGGACTGTGCCGCCCTGCGGTCGTGGTTCCAAGGGTGTCTGGTCCGCGCGGCGGTGGTGCGCGCTGGGCACCCTGTCTCGGTTTGTCTTCGAGGGCTTGCCAGGCCGTCGCGATAGCGGGGAGGGCGCGCGTCGAGCGGGCCGCAGCGCGGCAGCGCGGTGCGGCCGCGCTTCGTTGGGGCGGCACCTCGGGGTCCTCAGCGGGGCCCTCGGCCGGCCGGGGTCGGTCTGTCGGCCACCGTCTCTGAGCAGCGCGGTCGACGGTGACGGGTGAGTGAAGTGTTGTCGTCATCGGAAAAGAAGTGGTCGAGTCGGCGTGTAAGTGGCTGGCGGCTTAAATCCCTGGCGGTCATGCCTTCTCGGCGCGGTGTCCTAGAGGGGGTGCGCTCGCTTGCTTGGCCAGTGCCAGGCCAGCCGAGGTAGAGCTGGAGGTGGCGGCGGCCTCGGTGGTTGCCTCGCGTGGCGCGGGCGCGGTCGGTGACCCTCCAAGCCTTCGGTGGCTCGTGCGATGCTCGGGAGGTCCGCGTCGCGAGGGAGTGGGTGGTTATGCCCTGGCGCGAGGGCTGAGACTGGCGAACGCGAAGCTGATGCAATGATCGCGCCAAGAGTCCCCCTGGCCCGCGGGCCGCCGCCCCGCGAAGATCTGCGGCTGTTGCTGTGGCACTTGGTGGTCGGTGGGCGTGGCGTGTGTGGCGCGGTTATTAATCATGTTGCCGTTGACGTAGGTAAACGCGGGTATGAGCGCTGCCCTGGGCTTGTCCTGCGGGGTCTTTTTTGGGGCGGGGTTTTGGCCTGCTGCCCTTCGTTGCCGTCGGCGGAAGCGTGGGCCAGTCGTGGGCGGGGATGGTTTGCTGTGAGTGCCGCCCCCCCCCGCTGCGCTTATAGTAGCGGGGCGTGCCCTCGCGGGGGTTTGGCCCCGCGACGCGCGGGGGGCCGGCGGCGCAGTGGCCGCGGCCGCCCAGAGCGCCCAGGAGAGCGCATTTTGGTGACGTCGTCGGTGCCGCTGAGTGCGGTGGCGGTCGGTGGTCGTCGTGGTTGGTTGGTCCGCAGTCAGTGTAATCCGTGGCGCTGGAGGCAGACGCAAATGGGTCATATGCTCGGAACTAGTTTGTGCCGTCGAAGCTAAATTGGGCTTGTCGTGCCATGTCCCGCTGCTGCGTCCGCGGGGGAGGGTCCTGTGGTGCAGCGGGGTCCCCAGTGGTAGGACTGTGTCCTGTGTCGCTTGGAGTAGCATCTGGAAGTGGCGTGGGCCCGTCAGCGCCGTCCGCTGGCGCGTCAAGGCAGCTGTCTGGCTCGGGGTGGTCGTGAGCTAGATTGGCCAGGTGGTTGGCCGGCGTCGCGTGGTCGGGCAGGTCGCGGCGAAAGTTCAGATGGCGCGCGAGATGTGGTCGTCGCAAGAACACGAGGAGCCGCCGCGCGGTGGCCCAGGTGGTCCATCGCGGTCAGCCCGCATCCCACTGTGCGGCCACGCGTGGGAGATCGCGAATAAGAGCGTCGGCCAGGTCCTCCGCCGAGTTCATAGCTGGGAGGTATATCGCAGTGCAGTAGTAGGAGTGATGCTGCTCCGTTGAGGCAGGGCATCCGACTGGCGGGATGAGCTGGCGCTGCCTGGCCATGGCGGCAGTGTGGGGGGGTCTCCGCGGGCCCAGCTACGCATGGGCGTGGGTCGTCCTCGCCCTGTCTATCAGGAGAGGCGCTCCTGCGACCAGAGGAGGTGGGGCCAGTCAATCGCCTCGCAGCGGTTTGGCGTTGGTCGGTGGGTGCGCCTTCGCTTGCCGGCTCCACTGCGCTCTGTGCTGTTTGGCGCGAGCCCGCGGCCATCGGGATGAGCGTCCGCGCCGTGATGGTGTGGTTCGTTTGCTCGTCCTAGGCGTGGGGCTCCTGGCTCAGTGGGGCCTGGGGGCGCGCCTCTGGGCAGTGGCCCTTCGCCCGTGCTGGTGATGATGTTTGCATGTGGCGTGTTAGGCTCTCCGCCGTGTGTGGGTTCACTGCCTGCAAGGATCGCCTCGCGTGGTCGAGGCGGGGCGGCGCGGCGCAGCTCCGCAAGTGCAGGCGCGCTCTGAGGGTGGGATGCCACGCGGGATTGAGGCGCGCGCCCGCGGCATGTAGCTCGGGAGGGGGCGGCGTGCGCCTCCAGCCCCGCCGGCTGGGCTCGCGCAGAGTAGAACTCGAGCATGAAGACGAGGAAGCGCTCGAGCTTGGCCTACCCCGTTAGGTGCCCCAGCGCCACGGCGGTGCGTCGACGGCCGAGCTCTGGTCGGTTCCACGCCTGGTGGCAGATGTCGACGGCAGTTCGGGCTCGCTCAAGCTCTGTTAGGGGGTAGGAACGTTGGCGAACATCTGGTCGAACTGGGGTAGGTGCAAGACTATTGACACGTAGGTAAGGCTGTCATCCAGCCATGCCGCCATAACGTCCACGCTGTCACCACCCAGGGCCCAGGCCGCCGCGATGGGTTCCAAGCGGCCGCGGAGGGTGAAGAGAGCCCATTCGGGGTCGTGGAGGTTGTCGGGGGTCATTGCGGTGTTGGGCGCCTCGGGTGTGGCCGCCGTTTGTGTTGTGGAGCCATGTGGTCTGTCGGGTGCTCTGGTGGCTTGGCGTGCTCTCTCCGTGTGTGGGGCCGACAGGCCAAGTGAAAACATGGGTCGGATTGCCGAGCCGCGACGATGAGTGCTGGTTGGCGTCGGTGTAGGTCCCTGCCCCCGTGGTGGTTGGGATCCTGACTGCCGTTTGCCAATTCCTTGGGTGAGGATTGGGGTCGCTCACCCTTGGAGGGGTTTGGTCCGCCGCATAGGTGTGCCGCCCGTTTGTTTCATCCTGTGGCAGCGGCGGTGCGTTTGAGCATCCCGCGCAGATGTCATCGTCAAGGTATCGATGGTTGTCAAATGGCCTCCCTTGGGAGCATGGGCGGTTGGGCTGTCCACGTAGCCACGACCAGGGGCTGGGGGAAGTCGTGCTTGGCGGTGGCGTAAAGGCAGAGAGGCTCCGCTCCTTCTTGCCGCAAGGAATTGTGAGGTAGGTCGGGTGGTCCTTTTTTGACCACGGGGCGCGTCGCTGAAGCGTGCCGCGCAAGGGCCGTCGAGTCTGGCCGCTGGGCGTCCTCGGCAAAATTGGAGCTCGAATGTGGCGGCGCCAAAAATGAAGCCACGGGGTGAAGCATGACATCTTCTTGGTCCGTGTCTGTGTAGCAAGAGTCAATCAGATCGGCGTGGCGGCCGCGATTTCCCGCGCTCGGCCACCCGTCGGGAGGGGGGGCGCCGCTTAGGAACGGGTGCCCTTGGGCCCGACTGGGTGCCGCGAGCAGCAGGCCGAGGGCACAAGCACGCATGGCCTTCGGTGCGCGGCGGCTCTTGCGGGAGGACGTTTCGAGCCAAACACTGCGGGCAGTGGTGGTAAATGCACGCCCTCAGCATGCTGGCGCCCCAAGCACAGCACGCGTGCGCACGACGGATACAAAACTGCCACAGGTGGTAAACCAAAGAAGCGAAGCCGAGACGCTGTGGAGGTGGGAGATGGGGTGGAGGAATGCCTCGAACAAGACTTCCTCTAGGGGTGGAGGCAGACCCCGGGAGGCCCCGTCAACACGGGAAAGCCCCTTCCGTCTTGCCTCTGCCTTGCGCGGCGGCCCCCGCAGCGGCAGCTGCGACTGCGGCTGGGGGGGGGCGGCTACAACCTCGGCGTCTTGGGCGGTGGCTGGTATGGAGGCTTCGGCCACCTTGCCGCCCACGGGAGGTGGTGCAGTGTTCTCCTGAGCTGGGGTACTGGTGAGACCACCTGTCTGTAGGGCGAGCAGAAACTGCTGAAGGTCGTTGCGCATGGCATTAGTAACGCTGGCGGCCGATTGCTGTTCCGCTGCCACCGCTGTGAGCCCCCCCTCGAATCTGACGACCGTGTCGGTGAGCGTGGACTGGGACACCACCAGTTGCGCCACGTTGCCCTGAAGGCGGTGGACTTGTTGGGCTAGCTGGTCGTGGCCGTGTTCCATCTGCTCCAGACGCACGGCAGCGGCGTCTGGTATGCCGCTGCACGGTCCGAACTCGTGAAAGTCCTCTCTAGACTCCTCGGAGTAGGTGTGGCTTTCCGAGCCGTGGGTAATACGGGCCTCGGGCGGGGGGGCTGTTTCAGTGCAAATGATAGGTGTCCCTGGAGCACTGCCCTCGGTGGCAGGGGGGGAATTCGTGTCCAATGTCACGGCCCTCTGGTCTCTGCGTAGAACATACATCACATGTTGCAACCTGTTCAGGCCTCGTGAGGAGAATTGTCACGTGTTGCGGCCAGCTGGAGCCAATGGGGAAAGTCTGCCACATGTCATCATCACATGGGCCAAGGCGACTATATCGATCATTTAATACCCCTCCTGGAGCCTTAGGACTGGAGTGGTCACATGTCGCCGCCCGCAGGTCCTAATGAAGACGATCGTCGCATGCTGCGGCCCCCTCGGGACTAGGGGAACTGTCACGTGCTGCGGCCCTCTGGAGCCTCAGGAACGCACCCATCAGGTTCAGGTGGCGCCTAAGGGGCCCTAAGGTGGCCACAAGAAACCTTACGACAACTTCCTTCCTCCTCGTCCGCTGTTACGATCTTCCTGGGCCAACAGAAAAAAGGGCCGAAGGAAACACGCTGTCACGTAAAGGCCTTCTGGACAATTTTGTTATTAACGTCTCACTGGCTACTGCGCTCGCACGGTGACGGAACTTGCCGCAAGCACCTGGATAATTGAACACTCGTCGAAAACACGTGTGAGACTACCAGACCTGGCGACGACACCGGTTATGTTGCAGCAGCCCTCGAAGGGTGCCACGCCCAAGCTCTGCAGCGAAGAACCAATGGTGACATGCGTCAGAGCAGTGCACGAAGCAAACGCCCGCATTCGGACCTCGAACACAGAATCGGGGATTCGCACACGCGTAAGCGAACTGCACGACAAGAATGCTTCTGGACCAATCCAGACAACCGACTCGGGAATGTCGACCACCCTTAGACTGCTACAGTATTGGAATGCGCTGGAAGCAATGGTGGTGACCGACTCGGGAATGTTAACTTGCTCTAGTGCGAGGCAATGAGCGAATGTCCCCTCACCAATGACGGTAATATGGGCATCAATACCAACTCTCTGGAGTGACGTGCACGAAGAGAATGCCCAAGGGCCTACATGCTTCACCGACTCGGGTATGTCCACGTGGACGAGCGAAGTACAAGCGCTGAAGGAATGCTCGCCAATTGTGGTCGTCGAGATGGACACGGTAACGCTGTGTAGCGAACTGCATTCGTGAAATGCGAAGGGGCCGATATACGTTACCGAGCTGGGTATGTCCACGTTCGTGAGTGAAGTGCAAGAGCTGAAGGCAGAATGGCCAATCTCAACAACCGAGTTGGACATCTCCACCTGCTCAAGCGAAGTGCACAAGTGAAATGCAGAAGAACCGATAGACGTCACCGAATTTGGGATCCAGACGCGCCTGAGTGCGGCGCAGGAATAGAAAGCGAACCCAGTGATCTCAGTGACTCCATCACAAATCACCACCGAGGGTTGGCAGGAATATATTGGACCAGTTTGGCATTCTAGTGAGACCCATGTGGCCCATGTGGGAGAAGGCGTTAGAGATGGAGTTGTCGTCGGTGGCCGCACGCCCCCACCACATGCGCAACAAGCATCTGGTGCTGACGCACCCCTGTTCGTCCACTCGTCAAAAGCAGTGTCTGACAGCCAGCCCTGTCCGTATCCTCCTGAGCTTGTGCACCAGTTCATGCTGACGTAGTGCTCGCAGCTGTACCCCTTGGAATCATACCAGGACGGCACCATCTCAGCACAAGATGCATCGGGCGGCTCTGCGGCTGCAACGGGTGCGGACGTTTGGACTCTGAGGCTGATCGTGATGTTCGCTTTCACAATCAAGCCATCGCAGCGTACGTGCCACATACTTCGCCCAGATGGTGGACCAGTCACCTCAGCTACACTGGAATACGCATCAAATTCGCAAGCGCCGTCTCCATCCAAGTCCACCTGTGCCTGAAGATCAGGCACCTCTCTGTCGATGGCCCACCGGGCGTCTACATTTCCCAAGCTTCCCACGCCATCGCAGGCGGGATCGTAGTACATATAATCCGACGCCGTGCTGCGGGCACGTCGAGGCGTGTCCGAAAGCTGCTGCAGTCGTCGGTGTCAAAGGGGCCGTCGGACTCTGAAGGGTCCCGACGTTGGGATCGTCAGAATTCCAAGGTTGTGTCGCGAGAGCCTTGCAAAAGCTGAGCCCGCCCACGATGCGACCAGATTTACTTCATGCATCGTTTCCCACGAAAAGCCCGAAATGGCACAGGAGGCGCTCGTGAAAATCAGCGAGGCCCCAAAGGACCCCAGCAGGCCCCCAATAGCCTCTAAGACAACACGCTCCAAACTGCTCCAAGAGATGCCCCAGGCAGACGATTGTTTTGTTTCATTGTTTTTTTCGTCTGTTCGAATTCTCGTCCAGCGTGGCTTCAAGATGGCGTCAGAGAGCTCCGAGGCTGCCAAACAGGGCCCCCAGAGCCTCCCAAAGCGGCCTCAAGACGGCTCAAGACAACCTGGGGGGAGTCCAAGACAGCCCAGGAGGGCTCCAAGACGGGGCCACAACAACCCAACCCAAGGAAGCCCCCAAGGGTCCCCATGCGTCACGAGACAGCTCAAGGTGGCCCCAGCGAAACCCCACCATGCCACCCCGAATCCCTAAGACGAGCCCAGCATGCCCGCCAGATTCCAGATCCCTCTGGTCTACGAGCCAAGCACGGTGGCGGGATCAGCCGCAGGCCATCAGATAATCCCCGTTGGTATAAATCGGTGACCCCGTGGCGCTGGTGCCCAGTAGAGAAAAATATGGTGAAACAAGAGTACTGCTTCCGCACGGCCATGAGACAATCAAGTGCGCCGCTGTGGAGCAGGTGCTGGACACCCGGGTGCACGCCTGGTTGTCATAGCACAATGTGGACCCACACGTGCACGGGTACTTCGAGCTGAACGAACTCCCTTCCGATTCATCACATGCCTCTGTACAATTCGAGCCACGCGCCCAACTAGACGGGTCGTCAGTGCAGGTGAAGTCGCCGCCACCGCACGCGCAGCACGCCTGCTCAGCTGACATACCAAACTTCGCATAACCGTCAGCGATGCCTCCGAATCCATCACAGTATCCTAGATTATCATACTGCGCGCAAGTCCGCCCCAAGGAATCATGCCACTCGAGCTCGCCCGGTGGCCGCCAATTCACGCACGCGTCTGGCGGTGGAGCGGGCGTTGGGCTGATCGCAAAGTAACTGATGGTCAGGCTTAACCACGAGAACCTCGCCTCGCCATCACAATGAACAAGCCAACTGCCCGAGTGCGAAGGCGGGCCCGTCGTAAAACTACCAGGAATATCCGCCACTGTGCCCCGAGGCACGAACGAGCTCCCTGCACTGAGAAGTGTGAATGATTGGTGTATGATGATGATGACGGTGATGATGATGCTGCTGATGATGGTGATGATGATGATGATGTTGACTATGATTATGATGCTGATGATGGTGATGATGGTTATGATGTTGACTATGATTATGATTATGATGATGGTGATGATGTTGATGCCGATTATGATTATGATGCTGATGCTCATAGTGATGATGGTGGTGATGCTGATGCTGATGTTGATGATAATGATGATGATGGTGCTGATGCTGATGCTGATTATGATGATGAGGAGGAGGAGGAGGAGGATGATGATGTGATGATGGGTGCACTTATCTTGCCGAAGCGGTGGTGCTTCATGACACGGGTATGCTTGGCCCCCTGGGACTCTGCAAACCCGGGAGTAGCCGCGCGGTCTGAGCGCTCTGGGGCAAGATGCCTAACCGGAGATGCTCTGTGAGGGGCTCAGGCTCCGCGTTCTGAGCGCTCCCGGGTGTCCCTGGACGCTCCTGGAGCTCGTCGCATGACTTGTCCGAGGCCTCGGGAGCGTGGCTCGGAAGCCAGGCTTCCAACGTACCCTCAGAAGGACCCCGGGGGGGCCGTCCTGGAGCCCTCTCGGGCCGTCTCGGAGGCCCTAAGGGCTGGCCCGAGACGCCCAAATCATTGAACAGACATGGGTTGCTGATTTTCGCGTGCCTCCCTTCGGCCTGACGAGCGCTCAAAGCGGCCCAAGAAGCCCCCAAGATCTCCCCAGGGCGGCAGCCAAGCGCCGAAGAGAGTGCAAACGGGCCCCCAAGAGCCGTGGGGAACTCGAAGGGGCCTTGAGGGCCCCAGGAGGCCCCCAAGAAAGGCCAGTAGGTTCGGGAAATGCCATAAGACAGCTTTACCAATGCCTCAGGAGGCCCCTGACCAACATTCCCCCAGTGGTCCCCCCCGCGGCTGGACGGCTGCAAGAACACGCAGTCCACTGGCGTGGCCGCACTTTTCACATCAAGCTTGGCCACACAAGCGTTTTCAGAAGGGCAGGGGGCGTCTGGGATTCGCCAGAGGCGCCTTCGATAAGCTAACGCGTAACATATCCCAACTGTCCCATCTAGGTTTCCAGCTGCAGACAGGTCTGGCTCAATATCGCTAATCAGCCAAGCTGGTAAATCACCGGCACATTCCCCTGCTGTTGTGTATTCGCCACCACAGCAAGGATCGTAATACATGTAAGCACGCCCATTACTGTAAACTGGTGCTCCACTCAAACTGGTGCCAAATAAAGTGAAGACATCGTTGAATACGGTCTGGCTCGAGCATTGCACAGTGACTGCAAGATGCTCTGCTGTGGTGCACGCGTTTGATGCCAAGTCGCAAATTTGGTTGTCGTAGCACATCTGGCTTCCACAAACACACGGGTAGGTTGAACTGAAGTCCGATTTGTCTGCGGAATCGCAACGCGCTGCGCACGCGCCACACTGTGGGCACACTTGGGATGCATAGAGCCCATCATCGCCAATACTATCATAGCAATGTGGGTGGCTCGCCTCGTACATCGAGCAACCACCCCAGTCAGACGTCCAGATCAGTGGGTCGCCAATGCAGACCTTCGTGCCGCCACCACAGGCGCAGCACGCGTCAGTCGCAGCTAGGTCGCTGCCAATGGTTTCGCACACAGGGGATGCCCAAGATGGACAAGGTTCACCAACGGAACTTCGCCACGCCAAGTTATCCTCCGTCACACGGTCAAAGCATGCTCGATCACCCAGGCAGTTGCATCCTTGGCAGTCCCAACCAGCAGACTCCAGATTTTCGCAGGTCAGCTCGCGTAGAACCCATGCTGTATCGCAGTCCGACGCACCTAAAGATGTGTAATTAAAAGCGCAGCGCCTGGCCTCTGGTATGCTGACACTTGCACGGCCGCTGGAATCGCTGATGCTCGTGGCCGTCAGGCTGGTCGTAGATGCTGTATATGTTTGGGAAATGCTGGTCCAAGTCGTCGCAGTTGTGATTGTGACGGTGATTGCCTTCATCTCGGGCTCAGACAAGGACAGTGACGCCTCCACCAGATGCAAGCCCGCCGATGCGAAGGATATGTTCATTGCAGCAGCACTGCCAGCAACATCGGATCTCATTCTCTGTGTAGCCTGGAAGTACTGCTCGGCGGCAAACTCATTTGCCGCTATCTCGAAATCGGCCTGCCACGCAATTGTGCCACGCGTGAAAGATTGCCCAGCTGAAGATCCAATCAGCCGCGAAACAACAACTCCTAACTGTTCCTCGCCTACGCCGTATGTGGCCAAAAGATAGGAGGTGACCGCAGATTGTACGGTTTCCTGGGTCCCAGAACTATCAAAAAACATGGAACAACTCACGGAGAACACCTGTGTTGTAGTGCTGGTCTGGGTGGATGTCAAAGTGGCGGTAATGACCGTGGTTGAGGTCGTGATGGTTGCAAGTGGATGGGTTGGAGCTGGTGTCGGGGCCGCCGGGGTGGGGGCCTGGCCCCCTCCGCAAGCACAGCACACGTCCGACGCCGTGAAATCTGCATCATCATATTCACCTTCCGATGAACACCACGAGGGGTTGGACGCATAACCGGCGCAATTGATACCGTATGTATCTGTGGCTCCAGTGTCGCTGTCTACGCAACCCCCTCCGCAGGCACAACACATTTCCAAAGCTGTGAAATCAACATCATCCCAAGGATTTTCTAGCAACGTTGAGCACCACGACGGATCGGACGCATATCCGGTACAGCCTGCATGATGTATGTCTGTTGCTCCTTGGTCGGTATTTGCGCAAAACACCTGGCCGCCTCCACATGCACAGCACATGTCTAACGCTGTAAAGTCTGGATCGTCGTATTCACGTGCCGATGAGCACAACGAGGATTCGCTCGCGTACAGGGCACACTCGCGATGAATCTTATCTGTGGCTCCACGGTCGCTGTCTGCACAAGCCTCTTGGCCCCCTCCGCAAGCACAGCACATGTCCGACGCTGTGAAATCTTGATCATTCCACTCACGTCTCTGTGGGCACCATGAGGGATTTGACGAATAGGCTGTGCAATCGCCATCCCATTTATCTCTGGCTCCATTGCCTGTGTCTGTGCAAGCACGTGGTGTCGGCGCTGGCGTGGGAGCAAGGCAAGTGAAGGTGAGAGCCGCAGCTCTCATAGACACCCAACCAATATATGTTAACGGCAAAATGCGGACATAGCGTGCCTTCTCCACTGATTGGAAAAAAACCTGCACAACTGTGTCCTGATCGGAATTGCCCTTGAAACTGCCCTCTATGTCAGACCAGGAGCGGCCATCCATCGTAAGACTCACTGAGTAGCTGCTCACCCATTGATTTGTATCATGACGACCTTGCGTCACAACTCCAGCGACCCACGTAACCCTCCCAAGGTCCATCTGCATCCAATGGCCGAGGGAATCGTCCCAAGGGCTCCAAGCCTGTGCCGAGTTGAGCATTGACCGGGCGTGACCTGTCCCAATCACATCTTCGTTGTATATGCTGCTGTAAGATCGGTCTTGCTCTGGAGCATTTATTTCTTCTGCGCTGCACGCCGAGCAGGCGTATCCACCATTGCTGTGAGCATCTGCCTCCCACACCACCGATCCAGCAACTAGGTAGCATCTCAAGTCTCCAGAGCTGTCTGTCATCCAGGCATTACAAGTACTGCACTCGTGGCAAAGAAACTGGCACGCCACGTCGGAATCAACAAGCGCACCGCTGCTGCATGTGAAACTCCAGTCAGCACCATCTACGATACCCTGACCGTAGAGCACGGCACAAGCACCCTCTAGTTCGCTGACAGTCGAAGATGCCGTAGATGTTGTGGCGGAAGTGCTCGTGGTTTCAGAGGTGATGGTGACAGTGACGACCTTCATCTCTGGCTCTGACACAGACAGCGATGTCACGACCAGTTGCAAGCCCGCCAATGCGAAGGTTGTGCTCAGGGCCGCTGCGGTGCTATTAGCACTCGCGCTCAAGTTCAGCGTAGTGTGAAAATATAGCTCGGCGGCGATTTCATTTGCTAGTATTTCGAAATCGGCCTGCCACTCAGTGGTGCTACGTGTCGAGATCTGCCAGTCCGGCGATCCAGTGAACTGCGATACTACAACGTCCAACTGCTCCTCGCCAACTCCGTATATGGATAGGAGATGAGAGGTTACTGCATGTTGCACGCTTTCCTGGGTTCCAGAACTATCAAACCTCATTGAACTGCTTACGAGGAAAAGCGGTGTTGTAGTGCTAGTCTGGGTGGATGTCACAGTTACATCCGTAATCGTGCTCGAGGATGTGGTGGCCGTCTGGGTGGGAGCCCGACCCCCTCCGCAAGCACAACACATGTCCGACGCTGTAAAATCTTGATCATTCCAGCCACCTGCCGTCACACACCATACAGGATTGAGTGCGTAGAAAGCGCAATCATCACCATGTGCATCTGTGGCTCCATTGTCGTTGTCTGCGCAAGGCTCCTGCGTCGGAGCCGGCGTCGGCATTCTCGTGTATGCCTGGCCCCCCCCGCAAGCACAACACATCTCCAAGGCCGTGAAATCTGGATCGCTCCAGGAGCTTTCAGTGGAGCACCACGACGGAGCAGCTGCGTAGTCGGCGCAGTCATCACCATACGCATCCGTGGCGCCCCCCGCGGTATCTGCGCAGAGCAGCTCCTGGCCCCCCCCCCCGCAGGCGCAGCACATGACCGACGATGAGAAGTCTGAGTCATCGTAACCATCACACCATGACGGATAGTCCGTGTATGCTGCACACGGATCACCGTACGAATCCGTGGCTCCATCGTCGGCGTCTGCACAAGTAGAGGGTCCTGTTCCCACCAGGCTGATGGACATCGTCATCTGCTGCCAGCCCCCTTCGCACCACACTCTCCAGATGGCGCCGCCAGGGGGACCTTCCAAGCTGTGAGATAATACGTATGCCCAGAAAGAGCACGTTCCGTCTGCGTCCAAGTCTGCACCTGAGCTTGGGTCAGGCACGCTGTTGTCAACGATCCACATGGGATCCTCGCCCCTCCCGCTGCAATCGGGGTCGTAATCCGCCGCCGGGCCCCCTGGCACGTTGAGGCGTGGTAGAACGCCAAGTGCTGCCGGGCAGGGCCTCCGCAAATCTTCGAAAGGCCTTCCCCCGTCTCGCCGCGCTCAGTCGCGTGCATCGCCCCCACTCCCCAGGCTCCCTGCAGGGCGGCCCAACACTTCCCTGGGTCTCTCTCTCTCTCTCTCTGTGTTTTTCCTGTTTCTCTCTCTCTCTCTCTTCCTTCTCTCCCCCCTCTACCTCTTCAAGGCTTCCAAGACAGTCCAGGACAGCAATCAAGGCAGCCCACCCAATCTTGCCTCACGAGATACCCAACAGATCCCAGGAAGATCCCAAGATGCGTCGAAGGGCCCCGAAGAGGCTTACAAGGCATGAAAGGAAAAGGCCAGCGAGCCTTCGAGGAGAACCCACGTCCCTCAAATGTCAAACGACATGCTATGGCTTGACCATGTTGCGTTTGCTGGGCCTCCCGGCTCAAGATGTTCCCACCCACCGAGGACCTCCAGAAGCCCCTCGGATGGTCTAGGACAGCTCCAACTGGGGCCCAGGACGGCCCAGGGGCCCCAGGATGGCCCAAGTGGGCCCCAAGATAGCCCCAAGAGACTCCCTAGACGGCCGAGAGGGGCCCAAGATGGCATCAAGATAACAAAAAAGAGCCCCGATACCACCCGAGCAGGCCAGGCCCCCATAAGAGAGCTCTCAAAAGAATAGAGACGGGAAGGTGTCGCATGCTACGGCCTTCTGAGCGGTGCTCGAAGCGTCGCCGCACGAAGTGCCGCGCTGGCACTCTGACGAGACTTGCCGCAAGCAGCTGGATAGATGTAGAGGCCCCAGCGCGAGCTGTAGTAAATCGGTGCACCGCTAGCGCTGGTTCGCCAGTGGTGGAAGAAGAACGAGCCCCAATTAGCGCTCGCACATGGCCACGCGACTAACAAGCTTCCTGCTACAGCACACTCGCTGGTTACCGAATGGCAAACTTCGCTGTCGTGACACGCCGTTGATCCACATTTACATGGATAAATTGCGCTGAACACAGATCCATCTACAATGTCGCAAGTCGGTGCTACCAAGCTGATGGAGATCGCCATCTCCTGCCAAGCCGCGTCGCAATCAACTCTCCAGGTGGCGCCGTCAGGGGGAGCCTCCACGCTACTGTTAAAGGCATAAGCAAGGACATTGCACGCTCCGTCTGCGTCCAAGTCTGCGCCTGAGCTTGGGTCAGGCACGCTGTTGTCAACGATCCACGCGGGAGAGAAGCCGCCGCCCGTGCAATCCGGGTCGTAGTAGATGTAGAAGCCCCAGTGCGAGCTGTAGTAGATCGGTGAACCGCTGGCGCCTGTTCGCCAGTAGTAGAAGAAGGACGACCCCCAACCAGCACTCGCACATGGCCAGGTGACCAACAGGCTCCCCGCTGCAGAACACTCGCTGGACGCCGAATTGCAAGCCTCGTTGTCGTAACACATCGTTGACCCACAGGCGCATGGATAATTCGAGCTAAAACCCGATCCATCCAGAATATCGCATTCTGGAAGTCCCCCCCCACAGGCGCAGCACATGACCGACGATGTGAAGTCTGAGTCGTCGTAATCAGTACACCATGACGGATAGTCCGTGTACGCTGCACATGGATCACCGTATGAATCTGTGGCTCCATCGTCGGAATCTGTACAAATAGCGGGCGTGGCTTCCACCAAGCTGATGGAGATCGTCATCTCCTGCCAGCCCCCTTCGCACCACACTCTCCAGATGGCGCCGCCAGGGGGACCTTCCAAGCTGTGAGAAAATGAGAATGCCAGGAAATAGCACGCTCCGTCTGCGTCCAAGTCTGCGCCTGAGCTTGGGTCAGGCACGCTGTTGTCAATGATCCACATGGGGTCTACGCCGCTCCCGCTGCAATCGGGGTCGTAGTACATGTAGAAGCCCCAGTCCGAGCTGTGGTAGATCGGCGCCCCGCTGGCGCTGCTTTGCCAGTCGTCGAAGACGGACGACCCCAAGTTAGCGCTCGCACAAGGCCACTTGACTAACAATCTGCTACTGCCACGCGTCCTGATTGCGCTTGCGATGGCCTCGTTGGCGCTGGCAGTGCTGCGGGAACCGCCGAAGCTACCGACCGCCGTGCTCATGGGGGCTCCTGTAAACGTCGTACTCGTCGCTGCCGTTGCCGACGACTCGCTCGCGCTGGGTGTGCGGGCACTGCCAGTAGGCGCTGCCGAGGCAGCCCGCGCCGGCGCATCCCCGAGGCAACCGCACCCTGCGCAGTTCCATCCGTGGGCCTCCACAAGGTACCGGCAGGGCAGCGCGTGAGCAGTCCACGCAGCATCACAGTCTGCTGCTCCGTAGTCTGTGTAGTCGAAGACACAGGCCGAGTCGCCCGGGCAGGCGCACCCCGAGCAGTCCCACGAGAGCGACGCCATAGCAACCCGACAGGACACGCCATAGAGCGTCCACGCTGCATCGCAGTCTGCAGCTCCCTGGTCTGTGTAGTCATGGAGGCAGCCCGCTTCCTGCCGCGTCTCCGCTCGCTGCCTGCCGGCCAGCGCCGTGCCCCCGCGCCCCCGCGCCGCCGGAGCGGTGGGCACGGCGGTGTGCCCTGTGCTGAGGCGCTCCACCTGCTGCCTGAGGTGCCGGACGAGCTCCTGCTGCTCGCGGAGCTGCTCGCGTGCCATGCGCCATGCACGAGCCCCCTCGCCCTCCGAAGCCCCCGGCACGTCGGACAGGTCCAGCGGATCGGCCTGGCCCTGCGGTGCCGCTGCGTCGACGCGATCGCGCGAGAGGAGGACCGAGGCGGCCCACAGGACTCCCAGGGCGCCGCGGCCGCGGCGACGCGTGGCGCATGGCATGCGCTCGAGGGCGGGGAGTGGAGATAAACCCACGCCAGCTGCGCACTCGGAGGAGGAGGAGGAGGAGGATCCAAGGCACTGCGGCAGCCCACTCGCCTCCCGAGGGTCTATCCTGTGGCAACTCGATCGTGCGCCGGCCACCTCCCCGATCCTGCCCACTGCGCCTCCGCCTGCTCCCCCCTCGCCCTCCTTCGTCCTCGTCCTCGTTCTTTTTGGCCTTCGCGCTAGACGCTAGTCTTTGCAGCGCCAATGAAGACTCGGATGCTCTTCCCCAGCCCGCTGTGCCGACCGGGGGTGCATCGTGGTAAGAACGAGTTCCGCCCGAGGGGACCGCGCACACGGGCATCGCCACATTTCTGAGGTGGCCCGGCCCGCTTCGCTTGAGATATGCACGCGACCCTCGTTTCCGAGCTGTCCCTGACCGGGCCACTTCGCCCGAGACGCCCTCGCAACTCTGGGCTCCCAGGTGCCGCGAGAGAGGCGTCCGGCACGCTTCGCCTCAGACATCCCGTCTCTGGGCTCCCAGATGCCGCGCGTGAGGTGGTCTGGCCCGTTTCGCCTCAGACGTCCTCGCGTGGGCTCCGAGATGCCCGAGATTGAGGTGGCCCGGCCCGTTCCGCCCGAGAGGTCCTCGCAAATCCGCCGACCTTCGGCGTGTGTGAGACGCTGCCGTCGTCGTCGTCGTCGTCGTCGTCGTCGTCGTCGTCGCTAGTCCCAAGAAAATTGAGGAACGAACAGAAAAAGAAACGTCGCAGTTGAGAAGATTCCCTTCCCTTTTTCCCTTCCCTGATTAGGGGGATGGGGTAGGGAAGGGTGGGTAGGGGGGGGTCCAGGGTCAGATTACCGCCCCCGGGGTCCCGGAGGGTGGTCCCACCTGGTCCCCCCTGTGCGGGAAAGGGGCTGGCCATGGTCCCGGCCCCGACCCCAGCCCTGGCCCCGACCCCGGCCCCAGCCGCGGCCCTGGCCCGGGCCGCGGCCCCAGCCCCGGGCTCCCGGGAGGGGGCCCCCGGGTCCGGGGGAGGTCGCGCCTTGAGGGTCGGCGGCGCCGGCTGTAAAGCCTCCAGCATCTGGGCTCCGAGATGCCGCGCGAAAGGTGGTCTGGCTCGTTTCGCCTGAAGCATCCTCGCATCTCTAGGCTCCGAAGTGCCGCGTGAAAGGTGGTCCGGCCCGTTTTTGCGTGAGAGGTCCTCGCGAATTTTGGGCTCCGAGGTGGCTTGCATTG